TCAATGATGAGAGAGTCATTGATCAGCTGCCTCCTACATGCCCCCGACTGGGGATCGAGCCCGCAACCCGGGCATGTGCCCCCACCAGAAATCGAACCCCCATCACCTGGATCCTAGGTTGACGCTCAACCACTGAGCCACGCCCATCCAGTCTCAGCCATAGGTGTGTATTTTTTTTTAAAAAAAAGCTCAAGTAAGACTTCTTTTGACAGTAAAATATAAAGCAGATAATCCTATCAAGTAGTTTTTATAAACATAGATATCTAGATAAAATGAAGCACCTTATTAGATAAATGTAATTTTTATCATATTTATTTTTAATTTTTTGAGCAATTTTAAAAGTTTTAGGTTCACCCCAAAAAAAAGAAAAAAAAAAGCAAAAAGTACATAGATTCCTATATACCCTCTTTCTTCACACATGTATAACCTCCCCCATTATAAATATCCTGCAGAGTGGAACATTTGTTCTAATTAATGGACCTACGTTGACACTGTATCATCACCCAAAGTCCATAATTTGCATTAGAGTTTACCCTTGGTGTTATACATTCTATGGATTTTGACAAATGTGTAATGACCTGTATCCACCATTGTGATTCCCGACAGAGTAGTTCCACTGCCCTGAAAGTCTTCTGGGAGCTTCCTCTTCTCTGCATCCTTCCAAGGGTAACCCCTGCAACTGTTGCTCCCTTTACTCTCTCCAGAGTTGTGCTTCTTCCACAATGTCATACAGTTGGCATCATATAGTAGGTAACCTTTTAAGATTGGCTTCTTTCACTTAGTAATATGCGTTTATATTCCCTACATGTCTTTTCATGGTTTGTTTGCTCATGCAAGGTGTTGTCCTTCAAAAATGTATACACACTTTGAATAATTATTAATTCCAATGGGTTAAATTTGAAAAGAAAGACACATCAATTGAGCTATCAGCTGTAAAGTGTGTATACATTTTTGGGGGATACCCTATATTTTAAATCTGAGTAATATTCCATTGTCTGTATATATCACAGTGTATACATTTGCCCACTAAAGGACATCTTGGTTACTTTCACATTTTGACAATTATGAATTAAGCTACTATAAATACCCATGTGCAGTGCAGGATTATGTGTGAAGTAAGTTTTTAAATTTTGAAATACATACCTATTTGAATACATACCAAGGAGCACAATTATTGGATTATGTGGTAAGAGTACGTTAAGTTTTGTAAGAAAGTTCCAAACTGTCTCCCAAAGTGGGTGTACCATTTGGTATTCACACCAGCAATAAATGTGAGTCTCTGTTGTTTCACATCCTTAACAGCATTTGGTGTCATCACTGTTTTGGATTTGGGTCATTCTAATAGGTGTGTAGTAGTGTCTCATGGTTCTTTTTTAAAAAAAAAATTTTGAATTTATTGGGGTGACATTGATTAATAAAATTATATAGGTTTCAGGTATACTATTCTATAATACATCATCCGTATATTGTATTGTGTGTTGACCACCCCAAGTCAAGTCTCCTTCCATCACCACTTATCCACCCTTTACCCTCCGCTACCTCCCCCCTCCCCTTTCTCCTTTGACAATCACCCTTCTGCTGTCTGTGTTCATGAGCCTTTGTTGTTTTTCTTTGCTGAATCCCATCCCCCTTCTCATTCAGCCCTCAGTCCCCTCCCCTCTGACAGCTGTCAATCTGTTCTCTGTATCCATGAGTCTGTCTCCACTTGAAATAAGCCCATCCTTTATAGACAATTAATATTTGACAAAAGAGGCAAAAACATACAATTTGGTTAAAGATAGTCTATTCAATAAATGGTGTGGAAAAATTGGACAGATACATGCAGAAAAATGAAACTAGACCACCTCCTTACACCATACACAAGAATAAACTCAAAATGGATTAAATACTTAAATGTTAGACTTGAAATTATAAAAATCCTAGAAGAAAACATAAGCAGTAAAATATTGGACATTTATCGTAGCAATATTTTTTTCTGATATGTCTTCTTGGGCAAGGGAAACAAAAGGAAAAAATAAACAAAGGGGACTGCATCATTGTTGTTTTAATTTGCAATTCCCTAATGGCATATGACATTGAGCAGCTTTTCATGTGCTTATTTGCAATCTTTACATGTTCCTTGGTAAGGTGTCGGTACAGATAGATCTTTTGCGTATCTTTAAATTGCTTTACTTGTTTTCATACTGTTGAGTTTTCACTGTTCTGAATAAAATATTCTCCCAGTCTGTGATGTATCTTCTTATTCTCTTGACAATATCTTTTGCAAAGCAGAAGTATTTAATTTTGATAGCTCATTAAGTCAAGCTTATCAATCCTTTCTTTCACGGATTGTGCCCTTGGTGTTGTGCAGTCACGCAGCACCTAACAAATGGGCTACATTCTGGGAAGTGCGTTGTTAGGTGGTTTTGTTGTGTGAACATCACAGAGTGCACTTACACAAATCTAGGTGGCATAGCATCCATTTTCAGAATAGGGAGGCTTTCATATCTCCCGAACATTTGTTCTGTCAAGTAATTTTCCTCCACAATCAGCTTATCTAGAGTTTCTAAAAACTCTTCAGTTGTCTTCACATCAGCACTCACAGACTCACTACTCACTTTCACATTATATAATAAATAATGATTCTTGAGTTGCTGAAACTACCCAGAGCTAGCAGTAAGTTCAGCATTGTAGTCAGGTCCAGGCTTTTCTTTTACCATCGCCCCCCCACCCCCCTAAACAAACAAACACCTTTTTGCTTTGGTCGTGATTGCCACGGGGCTGTGAGGGATGTGTTTCTGTGTCTGGTCTTCAACCCAGGTCCTTAATAACGTTTTCTCCAAGTTTGATTTAGGACCTTTCTGAACTTTGTTAGTCTCGTTGCCTTCAGTGAAGCAGATCCTTTAACAGCTTCCATCCCTTTGTTCTTGGTCTTCAAGTTAATACGGTGGAATGGGACATGCCTGACTGCTGAGCAATAACCATCACTAATTTTCCAACTTCCTAGTCCTTAATCACTTTTAATTTCATTTCCAGGTCAATCACTTGATGTGACTTCTTACTGAAAACATTAGCAATAGATTGTGCATGCTTAGAGACCATGATAAACTAAACAACAGGAGACTAAACTGAACACAAGAGAAAATGATACAGTTTATACTAGGCTCTGATGGTGTCAATTAGGAAGTTATTTTGTTCTTAAGGACATCCTATTTAAAATAGCATCATATATATGTATATATATGTGTATATATATACATATATATATATACACACACACATATATATATGGGGGAGAGTGAGAGTATTCTTAGGGCTGGCACTACTAAGTCATAGGCATACATATGTTTAGCCTTAAAAGATATTGTCAAGCAAGTCTCCAAAAGTTGAAATTTGCTTTGAAAAATTGTCAATTTCTGCTAAAGTTGGACATAATCATTGTAGCCTAGCAAATCCACACCTGGGATGTAAATGTGCACCGGAATACGGCGACAAGAACATTTACAAAAACAGCTTTAAATTATCTAAAACTATAAATCCAAATGTCAATTACCTTAAATGGGGTAAATAAACAGTGGTAAATTTATAATGGAAAACTATACAGCAGTGAAAAATTCTACATAAAAAGCATGGGTGGATCTCATGAATGCAGTGTTGAGTGAAAGAAGCTGCACACAAGATTACATACTTTATAACGCCATTTAAGTTACGCTCAAGAGCGACCAACTAACCTTGGATGATAAAAGGCATAGCCAACGCTGGTTACCTTAGGGAGAGTGGTTAGCCTGTGGGTTCTGAGCGGTGGTTAGTTCGAGCTCTGTGCTTAAGGATTGTGCATTTTATAGGCTTCAATACAATAGAAGTTTAAAAATAATATGCCAGCTGTAGGAAGTGAGAAACGTGGGTCAAGGAAGAGAAGTGGGGAGGGAATTCCATTCATTCCCTTCATCCTGTGTCGCTGGTTTTCCTTCCTAAATTCAGTGTCACAGCGACAGGCGCCTGCCAGCCTCCAACTCCTCAGAGGCTCACAAACTTCTGGCGTGTGGCTCCTGCGCGGAGGCGGCCACGGCGGCTGGGCGCAGGGACACGGCGTGAGCGGGCGAGCTCTCAGTCCCCTCCAACCCGCGCGACACGGCAAACTGCAAACAATGCAAAGCCCCCGGCTGAGCCGAGTTCCGCCGCCTCGGGCTAGGTCGCGGGCTTCAGCCGCGGGTCGCTGGACAGCGACAGGGTGACTTCGTCCACTTTCCAAGGCAGGTACTTTGATTAACCCGAGGGGTAGGTCTGGTTCACCAAGGAGCCTTTCTCATCTAGGAATGAGCGAGAACAGCCCCGTGGAGACTGCAGCAAAGACGCCAACTGCTTTGCTTTTTTTTTTTTTTTA